GATGATGATGGTGATGATGGTGATGATGATGATGAGGATGATGATGATGATGGTGATGGTGATGATGGTGATGATGATGATGATGATGATGCTGATGCTGATGCTGATGCTGATGCTGATGCTGATGCTGATGCTGATGCTGATGCTGATGCTGATGACGATGATGATGATGATGAGGAGGAGGAGGAGGAGGAGAAGGAGGATGAGACGGAGTAGGATAATGAGAAGGAGGAGGACGACGAGGAGGAGAGGGAGGAAAAGGGCGAACAGAAGAGCCAGAAGCTTCGTGAATGCCACTCGGAGTCGCCTCGGATGTCGTTTGGAGGCTTGTTGGAGACATCTTGGGGCGTTTGTGGGGGGGGCAGCTATGCGGGCCCAGGGCCGTCCTTGAGCGTCTTGGGTGACTCGGGGATCCTCTTGAGGCCTCTTGGGGGCCTCTCGGGAGCCTCTTGGAGGCCTTCGGGCGCCTCTTGGAGCCGTCCGGAACCCCTCTTGGGGCGGTCTTGGGAGCTGTAGGGGCGCTCTTGGAGCCATCTCGGAAAACATCGATAAAACAAGAGGGGAGCTCAATTAGCCTTGCCCGTCTAGAGTGCCTAAAATCGCCTCTTGGAGTGCTCTTGGGGCGCTCTTGGAGCGCACTTGGGCGCCCTTGGAGCAGTGTTGCGGCTCTCTTGGGCCCCTCTTGGGACCCTCTTGGGCCATCTTGGAGCCATCTTGAGGCCTCGGATGGCAATCGGAAGCGAAAAGGCGGGAAAGCCAACAACATAGATTTCCCTTGTGAATTTGAAGGATTTGGATTTCTTGGGGGCCTCCTTGGAGCACTTGGAGCCGTCTTGAGGCGTTCTTGGGGCCTGTTGGGGCATCTCGGAAGCCATCTTGAGCGATCTTGCGCTATCTTGAGCCATATTCGAGGCCATCTTGCACTCTCTGGGGCCCTCTTGAAGCCATTTTGGGTCATCTTGGACGTTCCAGATACCCGCGACTACCCCCGTCCACGTACAGGGGAGGGGGTAAGGGGCAGGGGTGAACCCCTTCCCTCAGGAGAAGAAGGGGGTTGGAAGAGAAAGCTCCCTAGACCACCTACGCCCAGAGGGCTGGTGGGAGTCGAGGGAAAGTTCCCAACCGGCATCGCCAACGCAAACTACATCGGGGACCGCGTATCTGTTTCCGCAGGAGTGGATCCAGTCCCAGGGACCCGCTGGCTTACACCCCGCAGATTGAAGCACGAATATCGTTTTCGCCATCACGCCATTCGTCTTCTTCCATCGCTGGCTTGGCTTGGCCTCCTCGAGGCCTTTGACGATCAAGGGTTGGGCCTCAGCGGCTCTACGACGCAACAAACTGGGAGAAGACATGATATCGAACCACAGGCGGATGGCGCCAAGTGGTTGCGAGATGGCAGAGTCTTGGTCTCCGTAGTCCAGGTGCAAGGTTGTGGTGAGACAGCGACCCCTGGCCCTGGAGATCGCAATTTGTCCCAACGAGCGCCGAAGCTCCTGCACTGGCTGTGGGGAATAGGGATCACCGTCGTCCTGTAGGCAAGTCTCCATCATGTATCGATTCGCGCAGATCCGCTACCGCCAGGCCAGGGTGTCGGCACCCTCGACATGGGCCATCCTGATTCTCACGCGTGCCATTCGAACGTGATTCCGAGGCTGGACCAGTCGACGGTGACGTTGTTCCAGCCAAGGCGGTAGTAGCACATGCTCCCCCTCCGTCGCCACGGCCACGTCCCCGTTCCAAGGCTGGCCGCGGGCCCAGCCACGCACGGCGTTCGAAGATCTTCAGGGCAGGGCGCGAGCGTGGGCCCAGGGGCAATCAGCGAGGCCCCCGCCGACGGCGCAATCGTGGTTGCTGGCCTGGCCGACGACGACACCGACCAAGGCGCGGAGGTAGGAGCACACGCTCCCCTTCCCGCGTCGCGGCGGCGTCCCCTTCCAAGGGTCACCGCAGGCGAGGCCTCGCGCGGGACCCCGAGATCCTCAGGGCAGGGCGCGAGCGTGTGAGTCGGGGCTCACAAAGAGGAGAAAGGGAGGGAGGGATGAGATGGAGGAGGAGGAGGAGGAGGAGGAGGAGAAGGAGGAGTAGAAGGAGGAAGAGGAACATGAAGGAATAAGAGACATCTCGAGGCCCTCTTGGGGCATCCTGGGGGATTCCTTGGAGCCTCTCGGGGGCATCTAAGGGGCATCTGGGCCACTGGGGGCCTCTAAGGGGCTTATGGGGGCCTCTAAGTTTCTGGGCCTTCTGATGCCGTCTTGGGGGCCTCTCTCTTGGTTGTCATGGGTCCCTCTTTATGCGCTTTAGGGCGGTCTACTTCATTACAGGAATTTCGTTCCGAAGGTGCGTACGGCGAACCACCGCCGGCCCCTGCCTTCTCAACGCATATGTGGCCAAGCGTTTGGCCGAAATCTTGCTAGGCTACGAGTCCCCCCAGCCTTCGGGAGAACACTTGTGGGAGGAAGGGAGAGGAGGCGAGAGAGACAGGAACGGGACAAGACAGGCATCTTGGGGGGGCTCTTTGGGCCTCTTGGGGTCTATTGGGGCCTCTGGGGGCGCCTGGTGGCATCTGAAGGGCCCCTTGGCCCTCTGACGCTGTCTTGGGTGTCTGGGGCCTTCTTGGGGAGCCATTTTGGTGCCCTCTGAAGACCGTCTTGGAAGCCTATTGGGCTGCCTTGGGGCCCTCTTGGCCCGTCTCGGGGCCCTCTTGGGAGCTGTGCGGCAGCCTTGGGTTCATCGTGGAGGCTGCTGGGGCCGTCTTCGGATGATCTCGGAAGGCTGAGAACTCTAAAGTGAGCTGGGACAAGGGCGAGAGATAGCGAGCGTTTTTTCCGTGGCCGCTTGGGCTCAAGCGGCCGGCCGCCAACATATGTTTGTGCCTCGTCGCGAGGCACACTACTTGCCATCGAGACCGAAAACATCGTCGCTTGAGATGGCCCGTCGCTCCCGCGACGACCTCCTCCGACTGGGACTATCGTTGCTACGGAACAAAAGAGCTGGTGCTGGGCTTCGCCTAAGGCGGAGCTGCTGGTTAGGCCTCCCAACCCCCTTCAAATCCGAGAGGGCGAGAAGGCGAGCATTGTTTAAACATAGTACGAACATCAATGCGTCGAAACCATGTTAGGCAGTCGTGGGTCTATCTTGGACAGTCTTGAAAACATATTGGGGCCATCGTCAGCTCGCTTGTGGCTCTCTTGGCCTGTGCGTATTGGATCATCGTAGAAGCGATATTCAAGCCTCTCGGTTGCTGCAGATGCGTTGTTGGAGGCATCTTGAGCGGAAGAAATCCTTGCCTCCTGGTTCACGCTAGTCTTTCCTGGAGGCGAGCGGAAAGTTATGGCAACCTCCATACAGGAACAACATCTGACACACCGGGCGCCCTTGTGACAAACACAACAGGCGGCGGATGTAGTGACCTTCGGCTCATCCCGCCACCGAGACTGGGTTGTAGATCAGGGGCCTCCTGGATGCGGGGGCCCCTGGGGGGCCCCCTGAGGCTGCTTGGGGACCTTTTTGGGGCCTGCTGTCGGTCTCGGTGGTCATTTTGGGGTGGAGGGCTCGAGCTGTAAATTCGTGTTTCCCTCTTGGGCCTCACTTTGGACTGTTTTTGGGGCTTCTTGGGCTTGCCTTAGAGACCGTCAAGGCCGTCATTGTGCCGTCTGGGGTGCCTCTTGACTCTTGGGCCGTCTTACGGCCATCTTGGGGCATCTTGGGGCGCTCGTGGGCCGTATTGGTGGCCTCTTAGACCGTTTGGGGGGGCCTCTTGGCATCCTCTGTGTCCGTCCTGGGGCACGTGGGGCGGGAGGGTACGTTGCAGCATCAGTAATTTATCTTAGGTTAAACATGGCCCTCCGCCTCCTGCTTATTCACCTCCTCCTCCTCCTCCTCCTCTTCCTCCTGCTCCTCCTCCTCCTCCTACTCCTCCTCCTCCTCCTCCTCCTCCTCCTCCTCCTCCTCCTCCTCCTCCTCCTCCTCCTCCTCCTCCTCCTCCTCCTCCTCCTCGCCCTCCCAGTCTAGCTCTGCGCAGGGCAGGGGGGGGGCCGCAGAAAACAGCCCACGGCGCGAACACACTTGCGAAAGGTTGGTTGGGCCGGGAGCTCCACAATCCCACGTGGCGAAAAGTCGGGGCGCCAGAGATCTGGGGAGGGGGAAGGACACAGTCGAGCCTGTTTGGCAGATCGACCCTTACAGATTAAGGGTGCCCTTGTGTCTTGTGCGCTCGCGCCCCATGTCCGCTGCATTCCTGGGGCAGCACGGCCCTTGGAAAAGGGCCTTGTGTCCTCTCGTGTACAATGGGGGCCCATGACAAGAAACACCCTGCTTGCCTCCAGGGTGCCTGGGTTTCTTCTTGGGTTTCGATGGTTTTGCCATGGAGAGCGCGACGCTCCCGCACCAAAAATCAATGGACGTCGTGGGGTCTCAGGGTTGGGTCTCTTGTGGAAGATTTCTTGTGGTTGAGCCCCTACTGTATCCTCTGCAATCAACCGTGTTGGCTCGAGTGGCGCGCTGGATCCAGACTTCCCTGCTTGATGTTTCGTCGCGGTTAAGGACGGCGACGCTAGGCCACAAGCGTCTCTGTCGCACTGAGCCCAGCCGGATGGAGCCCATGGAGCTAGCTAGAAGAAGAAACCAAACCATAAGCGTCAACCTTCGGCAGTCCGCGCGGATGTCCTGGATCGGCGATGGACCCCCCCCCTCCGCTCCTTGGCGCGCGGAGCGCGCCTGGGGCGACGCCGAAGGGCCGCCAGGAGGGGGTCCAGCGCCGATCCAAAAAATCTGTTCGGACATCCAAAAATTCAGGTGAGACTTCGTGCTGCGCGCAGACAGCCCCTCCAGGTAGTCCCAACTGGCCTCAACAGGTCAACAGGCCTCCCCAGCAGCCTCAGCTGGCCTCAAGAGGCCCCCCGAGTACGGGGCAGTCTGGACTACTCGAGGGGGCTGTTGAGGCCAGCTGGGACTACCTGGGAGCGCTGTCTGTGCACAGCTTTTTCTTCTTCGAGGAGCGGCGCTCGCCCTCCTTCGCCTCGACGAAGCTGCCCGACGACCCAGGCCGCGCCGACGGGCGGTGCGCGCCGGACGAGGCCGTTCCTCGCCCGACCTTCCTGCCCGAGCCGCTGCAGCGGCAGACCCGGCCCAGCGCCGCGGGAGTGCCGCAGGCCTCGGGGGCAACCGAGAATCAGGAGGGAAATCTCGGCACAGACACACATAAGCATAGATCGCATTGAACATTTGGGGAAGTATCGCAAATAGCGGGAAAAACTGCAATAATGATAAGAAGAAGAAGAAGAAGAAGAAGAAGAAGAAGAAGAAGAAGAAGAAGAAGAAGAAGACGACGACGACGACGACGACGACGAAGAATTCACACTGGGGATGATGGAGTGCATGTTTATTTGTTTGTGTCTCCATGGGTCCTCGCGTCGTGAAAAAAACGCGACGGGCGTTCCCTGAGACCCGTCTGTTGTGATTTGTCCACGCCAGGCGTTTGTGCCCGTATGCGCGTCAGATGAAGATCGCTGGTCGACTTGGCTCGATTTTTAGCCAACGAGGACCATTAACAATGCATTCTAGCATACGAAGTGTTGCAATGTATGTGGTGCCAGCTCCGTGGTGCCATCTATGTGGTGCGTTTCCCCCAGCCGAACTAGAAGTTGTTAACCCCATTGCCCGCGCAGTCAACCCACCCACGCGCCAGCAACTTGGTTTGTCAAACTAATGCAGCAGCGACTGCGATGACTGGTTGGCGCTGGCTGGCAGTTCGCTGCGGCCGCGTTAGCGCGCGCGGGCTCGCGCGCAGAGCGGCCAGCAAGTGTGGTGTGACCGACGCGGCCGCGGTGTCCCTGACGGCCGGGCACTTCCCAATCCGCGCGTGTGCGTGTGTGCGGGTGTGCACGGTAGGCTCGTGTCGTGCCGACGCGGCTGCGACCCCGCCGCAACGCTGGATGTCGCTAGTGGCCAAGCTTTTGCCAGTATGGAACGGTCTGGCCATCGAGAAGCCGCCGATCGTTCGAGGTTGAACGGTCCGCGTGTTGACAGAAACCAGCGCCGGAGTCGTCACGACAAGAACTCCCCGTACGTGCGTTGCGCGTTCCGCCTTGTCTGCCCGCCTGTTTCCGACGCGTTTCGCGGGCCGCGCTGGCGCGCGGGCTTTTCAGTGCGAGTTGGCGTTTCGGGCTGGCGTGGTATCATGGCGACGTCGACAACGGCAGACACGATGATGATAGTAGCGATGGTGGAGACGAGGATAACACTGACGACGGCAAGGCCAATGACGGCGCCGATGCTGAGATGGTGCCCACGTGTCATTGATGCAGATGTTGAACGGATTTCGACGCGCGCGCGCGGCCGACGGGCGCGAGCGGCCCGCATAGTTTTATTTGACAGGGATAGCGCCCCAACCCATCTCGCGCGCAGCGGCGTCCGAATGATTTCGACACGCGCGCGCCAAAGGCCCGTTTGGTCGCACGTGATGAACACGTTGGAAAACCTATGGTTTTCTTCAGAATTCGCGCGAGCGCGCGCAAACATCTTTTTTGAAAAGGTAATGTTGCAAACCGGTGCGTTTTATAGTATGGCGGAATTCTTGCAGTTGAAGCCTGTGCGAGACCCAGGGTTTTCGGAGGATTCGGGCATGCGTCCGCGTGGACGACGAACGATGTTGGTTTCGCGGGGTTCTTGTGACTTGATGGTTTTCCAGTAGACGAGTGCGAACGCGTGCTGTGGTTTGACGAGGATGAGGGCGGGGGCGGGGGTGGACCCCAGGTCGGTTGGGACGGTGCGCGCTCATGTTTGCAATGAGCGATGGGGCAGAATCGGACGTAAGCTGAAAGGCGCGATGCTGGGGGGATAATTGTGAATTCTGGCGCAGAACAGGAAAATTTACGTTGCGCGGATTACGCGGCGCAAAATTTAAGGCGCAACGTGCGCGTCGCAAGTAATTTCGAAAAACCTGGTGTTGCGAGCTCAACTGCCCCGGCTCTCATCCCACCCGCCCGCCCGCAGCTTGGTTCGCTAATCCCCCGCGTCTGCGATTGCGATGTGCGTTCGGCGTTGTTTGGTGCATTTCTTCGGGCGCGCTAGCCCGCGCGGGCTCGCGCGCTGAGCGGCAGGCTAGTTTGGCGCGACCGACGCGGCCGCGGCGGCGCTGACGGCCGGGCGCGCCCCCCAGCGGGCATCTTAGCGCCAGCCGGCGGTTCGGGCGGGCGCGGCATCGCGGCGACGTCGACAGTTGCAGGGGCGATGGTGATCGCCACACGATGGTGGCGATGATGATGAAGATGGCGGCGGCAAGGCCAATGGCGGCGCCGGTGCTGATCGCGCCGGCGACGATGAGGGCGTCTTCGCGTCGATGGCGAAGGTTCTGGAAGAGTTCGACACGCGCGCGCGGCCGACGCCGCGCGCGCGGCCGACGCCGCGCGCGCGGGGCCCGCGCGGCATTATTTGACCAGGATCGCGCCCGCCCCCTTTGCCAAAACGCGCGCGCAAGGGCGTTCGAGTGACCTCGACATGCGGCGCGAGATGCCCATTTGGTTGATGCTCGATGAATACGTTGAGTATCTCGATGGATTTGTTTGAAACTTGAAGATTCAAAACCATTTGAACTGCGTCAGAATCTCTTTTTATTTCTACGCTCGATTGTGCAGTCCTCAATTCTGAAAGATTTCGGAACGCGCGCGAGACGATGCGCGCGCGCCGATCGTCGCATCTGCCGCGATGGGGTTCTCGCGACAGCACGCGCGCAGGGGCTGCCGAGTGCCTTCGAAGGGCGCGCGAGAGGCACGCTGATTGGTTTTGATGAACACGTTGAAAAATATGGGGCCTTCTCGCAGGGCCCTGCCTGCGAGGATCGAAGGCGCCGCCGCCTCTTCCGCCGCGGGGGGCGGCCGAGGCGCGGCGGAATGCCGGCGGGGGTAGAACGAGGCCGCCTCTCCCGGCGAAAGCCGGCGGGTGCTCGGTGCTCGGCGGAAGGCGGCGGAAGCGCCAGATGCGCGCCCCCCAAGATATTGAAACGTTTTTTCGGTTCAGGGCGTCCAAAATCGCCTATGCAGTTGTCTTGAAGTCGCACGGGCGCGAGCGCGCGCCTCCTGAGAAGTCCCGTTGCCGAACCGCTTGCTGTTGATTCGTGTGCGCGCGGGGCGACGCGCGCGCGCTCCGCTGCGTTGCGCGCCGGGGCTTTTGGGAAACTGAGATTCTCGATCAATGCTCGCGCGCGTGATATCTCTTGCGCGGTCTGAGGGGCTCGGGGGGGGGGGGGGGGGCGACGAGGGGCTGCGGGCGGCGGCGTAAATCCACGCTTGGGGTGGGCGACGGGGCAGAATCTCGCGCGCGCGCGCGCTGCTATGCAAAACGTTCGATCGCTAAGTGGCGGCGGGGCGCGGGGGGGGGTCATCTAATTTTGCATAATACAGGAATTCGCCTTGCCGAAAACGACGCGGCCAACTCCACGGCTCGCGCCGCCGCCCCGCCCGCCCGCCCCGCCCGCCCGCAACTTGGCTTGCAAGGCCCATGATTTGGCGGCGACTGCGACTGCTGCGCGGCGCCGGCTCGCGCGCCGCGGCGACCGCGCCAGCGCGAGCGGGATCGCGCGCAGAACTGCCGGCATGTCTGGCGCGACCGACGCGGCACCAGCGGCGCCGACGGCCTGGCGCGCCCCAGCGCGTCTCGCCGGCCGCGCTGATGCGCGGGCGCGCTAGTGCGAGTCAGCGGTTAGGGCGGCGCGGCATCGCGGCGGCATCGACAACGGCGGCCGCGACGATTATGGCGGCCATGTTGGAGACAAGGGCGACACATGCGGCAGCGCTGCCAGCGGCGGCGCCGACGCTACTCGCGCCGGCGGCGATGATGGCGCCAACGCGTCGGCGATGAAAGTTTTGGAGGCATGTCGACTGTCGAGATGCGCGCGCGGCCGACGCGCGCGAGGGGCCCGCGCGGCACCATCCCAGGAGGATCGCGCAGCGCCCCCCCCGCTTCCCCCACCCAAGCACGCGCGCAAGAGGGCCCGAATGAATTCGACATGCGCGCGCGAGAGGCCCGCTTGGTCGCATGTTTATGCAGACGTTACAAAACGCGTGGTTTGTCTTGAGAATTTGCAGCCGCGCGCTCGCGCGGACTTAGTTCATTTTCTAACGCTGCAGGGCCATGCGTTTTGTCCGCGTCGCACGCGTTCGGGGCGCTCGACTCTTGAAGTCCTGGCGACGCCGATGGCAGCGGGGGGTTCCTGGACGCGCGCGCGACTGCGCGCGCGAGTGGACTTTCTTCAGGTTGTTCCCCACATGTTTCGTTTGGTTATGGTTTTCATATTTGCCGCGTCGCACCCGCGAGGCTCACTCACCTCCCCTCCCCCTCCTTCTCCTTTTTACACAGCGCACCGCAGCGCAGCAGAGCACAGCGCAGCGCGGCACAGCTCAGCACATCACAGCACACAACACATTGACACACAGCACGTACACAGCACAGCTCAGCACAGCACTGCACAGCGCAGCACAGCACCACAACAGCACAGCTCAGCACTGCACAGCACAGCACAGCACTTCTGGACACCATTGGGGGGTGCGCAGCAGGTGGTCTCTGAGCGCGGCCGCTATCCACGACACTGCCGCAAAGCTTAACAGGCGTGGCACTTTCTGGACACCATAAGGGCGCGCGCAGGGGGTGCTCTCTCAGCGCGGCCGCTACCCACGACACCGTCGCAAAGCCTAGCAGGCGTGGCGATTTCTGGACACCGCATGGTCTCTCAGCGCGGCCGCTATCCACGACGCTGTCGCAAAGCCCAGCAGGCGCGCCATTTTCTGGACACCGTTCGAGGTGCGCAGGAGGGGGGGGGGCCTCAGCGCGGCCGCTATCCACGACGCTGCCGCAACGCCTAGCAGTCGTGGCACCTTCTGGGCACCATAGGGGTGTGGCGTATGTGGTCGTCTCTCAGCGCAGCTGCTATTGCTATCCGCGATACTGTCGCCAAACTTAGCAGGCGTGACACTTTCTGGTCACCATGAGGGGGTGCGCAGGGGGGGGGTCTCTCAGCGCGGCCGCTACCCACAATATACACGACGCTGTCGCAAATCCTAGCAGGCGCGGCAACTGCTGGACTCCATAGGGGGTGCGCAGGAGGTGGTTTCTCAGCGCGGCCGCTATCCACGACGCTGTCGCAAAGCCGAGCAGG